CTGTGAAGGCAGGCCACCACTGGACTCTCTCTTCAAATTCACTTTTCTTCATACTCTCCACACCTTGGAAGAAAGTCATACCCTCATTTTGTTTCAATCGTTCCCATTTCAAAGTCTTTTGCTCTGGGCACTGATGTCCAGCTGAAATCGCAAGCTTGCCCACTATATCCAGAAACCTCCTTTCTCGAGGCCGGCAGGTGGTATGTGGTTAAGGGCGCTGGACTCCCACGGAGCCGACCGCAGTTTGAGTCCCAGACCTGGAGGCTTGTTTCCTCATTCCCCCCACCCCCTTGCTCTGTCCCTCTCTCATCAAATTAAAATAAATAAATAAAATTTTTAAAAAAGAAAGAAAGAAACCTCCTCTCGAGGAAGGGCCCCTCCATCACACTCCCTCGCCAAGTACCACAGAGACTTCGGGTGACAGCGCTCCTGTGGGCCAGAGCCAGCAGGTCTGGGGATCAACTGCACAGCCACGTCTAGCAGCTCTCTGGGTCATGGTTCTCAATAAGCAAACTCAGAAAACAAGCTCATTCTCCTTTTCTCACTCATTAAAAATAAACCCACAGGGTACCCAGATTTAGAACACACCTACCAAAGAAAACGTTAAATGGAGAGAAGGAGGTACCCACCCACATAATCTTTCCATTCAGAGAAGCACTATTCCACAGCTGCTATGGAGTTTATAATTAACAGACATGCTTAACCAACAAGAGAAATTTCTGGAATCTCTTGTAATTTACACGAGAGTCTGGCTTACTCCAAATTTAGACCATAGGCATGGGCTGGCTTCCATGTCTAAACCTGAAGGCCACACTAGCACACCTCTAGCTGGGCATCTTGCGATCACTCAGCCCTGCGTGCAGGCACCCCGGCCTGGCCCAGCAGCCCGATGGATGTGGAGCAGCTACTCCGACGCAGCGTGCTCCCACCCAGAGGCCCACCAACCACCCACCACTTGCTTCACAGAGCTGGAGAAATGTCAGATTGCACTCCGTGGTATTCACCATGGTGCCTTCTGTAGATGGTTGCTATCGTTGTACTACAAGGTTTTCGTTGTCTTTGCCACTGGCCAACCCGGATGAACCCTCAGTCCAGGTCAAAGTCAAAGGTGTGCAGTGAGAGCCCCAGGCTGCCTGACAGAGGCTGAGTCACAGGAAGACGGATGAGCAGGGTGGGAGGAGCGCGCCTGCTTAGGCAGCAGGTGGCTCTGTCAAAAACTGCTGTATTAGAACAGGAAGTCTCCTCCTCTTATAGGAAAGGAAATTGAGGCTCGGAAAGAAGAAAAAAAATTGTCCAAGGTCACATTATTTCCTGGTAGGTAAAGGACCAGACCCCAGTTTTCAAACTCCCAACCCAGACATAATTCCCTGGGAACCCAGAGACTTTTTCCACCCGGTGGAGAAAAGTACACAGCAGCGTGACTGGCGAGGCACGAGGCGGAACTGCCAGATGCTACATCAGACAAGGACACAAATTAACTGCCTACCAGAGTAGGTCTTTAATCCCCAACTCCAGAGTTCACCCTAAGCTCCTGTTGGAGAAGTACTGGAAAGATCGTCTAGTTCCCACGACACCCCCTCCAAAGGCTGGCCGGGTGGGATATTAAGTCCTTTAAGAGCACTGGAATGAAGTGGGCCTCCAGTATCTCTGAGCCCTGGCTGAGTGCAGACATTCCCACAGGAAGAGCACACTGCTGGTTGTGACCTGCTATTAGCCCCTCTGCAGGCTGTAGGTGTAAACACTGGCTCTCACCAAGAGGAACAGAGCATAGTCAGGAGTTCAATGGGAGAAAAAGTGAGGTTAGTTAGTTAGTTTTGGAGAGGTTTTTGCAACAGGGCACGTGCACTCACCAGAAAGACAGAGAGAGATAGAGATAGAAAGCAAGAAATCACCCCCCAGGGAATCCCGAAGTTTTAATTTTTTTAGTTAATTTTATTTTATTTTTTCTTTCTTTTTTTTTTTGAGAGATTTTCACTGTAGGGCGCGTGCGCTCGCCAGACAGACAGAGAGAGAAATAGAGACAGAAAGCAAGAAATCACCCCCCAGGGGGGATGGTCACGCCGCAATCCCTTTTCCTCCATTCTCCTCTCGGGATCTTGGGCACGCACGCACACGCGCCCGGCGTGAGTTTTAAGCCACCAGGTCCGGGCCGCGACCCGCGGTCGACTCCGTGGGAGTCCAGCGACATAGCCATTACGCTAACTGCTGGTTCCCCCCTTCTTTTTTTTTAAAGAGAGATTTTTGTTATAGGGCACGTGTGCTCACAGAGAGACAGAAAGTGAGAAGTCACCTCCTTCCCCCCCTTGGGGGTGATTTCTCGCTTTCTGTCTCTCTCTGTCTCTCTCTGTCTTTCTGGGGAGCACATGCACTCTATAGCAAAAAACCTCTCCAAAAAAAAGAAAAAAAAATTGCTACAGGGTATATGTGCTCACCAGAGAGAAAGTGAGAAAGCAAGTTGCCAGGTCTGGGACTTGAATTGTAGTTGACCATGTGGGAGTCCCACACCTTAACCACCACACCACCTGCAAGTGAGTTTTAACAGGAAGAGTAGAGAGTCAACCTTGGTTTTTAATCTTTTCCAACATGGCGACCATTGGTAGAGGTAAGAACCCTTCCTGCCCCCTCCTTCCTGCCCCCTCCTTCCTGCCTCCTCCTTCCTGCCCCCTCCATGCTTGCTGTACTTTATGGTGAAGAGAAAGAAAGGTAAGTCAGCCCGAGAAATGTGAGGCCTGTTAAAACTGGCCAGGCCAGTGGGCATGAGTCGTGGGGCCCCAGTCATACCTGATAGCTGAAAGCTTTAAGTTGTTTGCATTTCTCAGCACTGACAACCATTGACATAAGTCAGACTCGCTATCCCCGCATTTCCTTTAGAATTAAGCATACTGACCCCAAATGACCAGAAAATCACCCTGCTCTCCCGACAGTATTTAGCCAATCACTATGATACAAGGCCTCTGACTGTAATGCCTTTTCAACCAATGTAAAGTTTTGGTGAACAAGTGATGCAATCTTCCTCTCTATTCACGATTTTTGCCCTTAAAATTATCCTGAAACCTGCCAGCTCTCAGTGCATACATTCAACGCCACTCGAATGTAATATCCAACCTGCAGTCCTCAGTTTGGATAAAAACAATCTCTTGCTTTATATACTCTGCCTCGGGTCCTCCTCTTGGGCCAGCGCTCTTGGATTACGTTCATTGATAAAGCCTGTAATGGACAGGATTTACTAATTGTTGAATTAGTGGCACTTTTAGCTGAATTTTTTAGTAAACATCAGGATCATTTGAAAACCTGGAGTATCAGGTGCATTATATACACCGCATATCGGTCTAGACGGTTCTACAAACCCCTCTCTTGAAATCCCAAGGGCTCAGGGCCCACCTGTCAAGAAACCGCTGCTAGAACATTGGAAATTGCTCCCAGGTGAGCAGGCCAGGTGGGCTGCCTCAGGAAGGCTCCACTGAGGGAATCTGGGGACAAAGAATTGGGGAGTAAGAGCCCACAAAGCACACTGCACACACTTCTTAATTTTGCTTAAGACCAGCCCCACGGCCCCCTTTTTCCATAATGGTCAACATAAAAATTAGTGATTATAGGTTACTACTGACATATGGGCAGGGGAGGTATGGCTCAAAGGTGCTTAGGAGTAGGAGAGAAGAGGGAAACACTGTCCCAGAACAAATTCGGCTTATCCTGATGCCAGCTTTATTTGCCTGACGGAATACAAAAGCCTGAAAATCAGCTAGAAAAAACAGCAAGGCTGTTCTTCGATGAAGCTTCTGGGTCTGGATTTGATCTCAGTCAGATGAAAAGGACATCAGGGAACAACACGGCATTCGCCCATGCTAGAGTGACAGCTACACAATCACAACTTCAGACCCTGCCCTATCAATTTCTCACCAATAGGACATTCATTTAAACGTCGCCTCTTAGAGTACCTTTGAGCTCCCTGTTACACATATTCAGAAAGTCAACCTTACATTATTCTTTTAAATAATTATTTAATTTTATTATAAAATTTTTCATTGAGTTCTTTAATTTGACCGGAGAGAGAGAGAGAGAGAAAGAGAGAGAGAATGAGTGAGAAAGCAAGCCGCCAAGCCTGGGACTTGAACTGTCATCGCCATATGGGTGTCCAGGGCCCTAACCATCACGCCACCTAGTGGCCCCAACCTTATATTATTTAAAAGCAAAATTAGAAAAATATTCAAACCTACAGACTTAAATACACACATCACCTGTTACAGAAAGATGAAAAGCACTAAAATGCCCGGAAGCGGATGCGTGCCTTTCCAGGTTGCCCTCTCCCACGCCCCCGTATGGCGAGTCTCGCCGCACTATTTGATGCCTTGAACACACACTGAACCCTTAGATCACACTACTGGGGACACTCAGGTATGCAAAAAGCTTGGGGTCCTGTCACATCCATTCACACACACACCCTTGCCAAAGTCCTACTCTTCTCTTCCTTCCTACTCCAACCCCCAAAAGCAAAACAAATCTCCCCCCTTGACTACCTCACACATACTTCCATGACTTGCCGCGGGGGATCTCCAGAGCCACATCACTGTGTCCGCCCCACCTTTCTCCCCACAACACCAAGCCCAGTGCTTAGCACTAAATGCCTCACGAAAGCACATTGCAGAAACAACGGGATGAGTAGGTAGTTAGGGAGAAAAGCTCCTGATATCGATGTGTGAGGATTAACTATTCACAAAGCTGTCATAATGTCTCAGCATTCAATTACTGGGGAAAACACGTATGTCTAGCCAAGCTAACTCGTTACATCCCTCCCCTGGTAATGAATATCACCTATGTACCATATGAATAAGGAGAAGTCTGTTTTTCTATCAAAAGGCTTGAATCAGACTCAGAGGTCACAACAGGAAGGAATGCCTGAGGCATTGAAAAGAGCCTCCCTGGCGAGGAGTGTTCCAGCCAGGCCACCGCCCTCAGCCTTCCCATCCTCACTGCTCACCGCTGCAAACAGGTGCACTCACCTGGCTTGTTTCCTTCGCGCTCATGGCCCAGCTGCCCCTTGGTGTTCAAGCCACACGTGTAAACTTCCCCATCCTCCAGCAGGAACACGGAGTGGTTCCCTCCACAAGCCACTTCCTTGACACTTCTGTCAGATATAAATCCACACACCTGTGGCTCGGCCACAATTCCTTGCAGGTTGGTGCTGATACCAGGTTGGCCCAGAGACCAATATCCCCAACATAACATTGTTCTTATCCTTCAAGGAGTCATGTAGCCTAGAAGAAAGTTTAAAAAAAAAAAAAAAAAGTTAAAAAAATAGGTTATAGAAAATCAATTTAAGTAATAAAAGTAAACCAATTTAAAAAGTAACTCTTCCCCTTAATATTTTTCAACTACTTTGCATCTCAAAATACATTAATATTGTTGAAAGTAGTTATCAGTTATAAAGATACTGGCTTGTGTTTTAGTAAGAGAAACCATTTCCAAACAAGTATTATTTAAATCAATGAGTGAGCACAGACAAAATGTGGATTTCAGGTTGAAGTGGGCCCATTTGAGGTTTATCAGGACTGCAGCCATTCTGAAATTAAGAAAGTCCTGGGGCCAGTAGGTGGTGTGGTGGTTGAGGCACTAGACTCCCACAAGGTTGACCGTGGTTCAAGTCCTGGACCTGGCAGCTTGAAACTCATGCCGGGTGCATGTACATTTGTTCCCAAGATCCCGAGAGGAGAATGAAGAAGGGATTGCAGTGTGGCTTTCCCCCCCGGGGGGGGGTTCTCACTTTCTCTCTCTCTGTGTCTCTGGTGAGAGCACACAGCCTGTAGCAAAAATCTGTCTCTCTAAAAAGAAAGCCCCGTAAGAGAACCATCTGATCAATCACTAAGTCAGTCATAAAGAGATCTGTTTGAGGAGTGGTCAGATGAGAAGCCGAGAACGTGTACTTGAAGGAATCGGGATAATTACTCAGGGAAAAGCACCTTACCCTGATGGACGGCAGTGAGGAATGATTTGCACGTGCTTGTATCTTGTACCTATAAACACGACGAGCACGCTGGACTTTTCCAGTTCGAGGGTCTCTGCTGACTGTCTTCCTCTAACCAGTACAGAAATAAACACCCTTCTCCAGCCTCTGCCCCTCACTTCACGGAGCGTGAGACTTAGCCGGAAGGTAACAAGGTCACCAAGAGGAGCCCTCAGTACAGGAGACTGGCTGAACCCGTCTTTGCAAACCATGAAGGTGACCAAAGCTCTGAAACTATGGTATGACTGGCCTTATCCACTTTTGGTGCAACTTTCTTTTGAGTTTTCTGCTTATTTAATTCTTTCTAAGATGTCGGACCAATTAACTCCTTCGGGTAACCTTGCGTTAACTTGCTTAGAAGTATTTTACCACTTGAAATAAAAATGAGAAATGGGAGGGGAAAGAAGTTTTCTTCCCTGCAGTTTGAGTCAAACTTCACTTCCTACCAGAGAGGCTCTGAGACCTTCCTAGTCACGTCAGCCCGGGCCCCTCTGCCATTACTGTCCTAACTGATAGACTTCTCGTTGTATCCTTGTAACTTAACTCCCCGGCCAATTTTTAATCTCCTTGGACACAGAACACGGTATGACAGACTTCTTCTATTTAGCAGGTACTCAATCAGTTTTTTGGCTAATTACTGCTGACATTGGCCTAAGGTTTAATCACCTTTTAGAAACGCTTGTTTTCCTTTCATACAAACAAACAAACACTCTCGTCTCTTCACCAGTCCACATGCACAAAGATGGCTAGATAATAACGAGTGTTGGGGACCAGCAGTTAGCGTAATGGCTGTGTCACTGGACTCCCACGTAGTCAACCACGGTTCGCATCCTGGACCCGGTGGCTTAAAACTCACGCTGGGCGCATGTGCGTGCGTGCCCAAGATCCCGAGAGGAGAACGGAGGAGAAGGGATTGCAGCGTGACCATCCCCCCTGGGGGTCTTTTCTTGCTTCCTGTCCCTCTGTCTGTCTGGCGAGCGCACGCGCCCTAAAGCAAAAACCTCTCCAAAAAAATAAATAAATAACGAGTGTTGGTGACGATGTGGAGAAACCGGAGCCCCCCCGACATTGCTGATGGGAATGTAAGATGGTGCAGCTGCTTTGGGAAAATCTGGCAGGTCCTCAAAAGGCTAAACATAGTTAACATATGATCCAGCAATTTCACTCTTAGGTACATACCCAAGAGAACTGCAAAAATACATCCACACAAAAACTTGTCCCTGAATGTTCATAGCAGCATTGTTTATATCAAAAGGCATATGTCGGGACCAGCAGTTAGCGTAATGGCTATGTCGGTGGACTCCCATGTAGTCGATCGTGGTCTGAGTCCCGGACTGGGTGGCTTAAACTCATACCGGGCGCATGTGCGTGAGTGCCCAAGATCCCGAGAGGAGAATGGAGGAGAAGGGATTGTGGCATGGGCATATAATCTCTCTCTCTCTCCCCCCAGCAAGCACATGTGCCCTATAACAAAAAATACACGGGCCCTATAGCAAAAACCTCGCCCTGCAAAAAAAAAAAAGAAAAAAAGAAAAAAAAGTATGTCCAAGATTCTGGGAGAAGAATGGAGGAGAAGGGATTGTGGCATATCCATTCCCCCAGGGAGGTGATTTCTCACTTTCCCTCTCACTGTGTCTGTCTGTCAGTCTCTCTCTCTAGTGAGTGTACATGCCTCAAGGCAAAATCTTGAAAATAAATAAATAAATAAATAAAACTGCTATGGGGCATGTTCAATCACAGCTGGGGTGGGGGGAGGAAGGGAGAGAAGGGTGGAGAGAGAGTCAGTGAGAAAGCACCCCTAAAGTGGGTGGGAATGGCTACATTGCAATCCCTTCTCCACTTCCTCTTGGGATTTCGAGCACACATGCACCCAGTGTGTTTTTCTAGCCACCAAGTCCAGGACTCAAACCAGAGTCATCCATGTGGAATTCAGCCACCTTAATCACCACTCAACTGGCTAGCCCTCTCAATAAAGTCTTTTATAATTATGTTTAAATCTTTTTTCTTCTCCATGTCCACTGCTTCTGTGAGTCCACATCCGCTAATAAGGCTTTGCTGACTTTAATTACTGGAGTTGTCATTACAAACGTAATAGACACAATGACCACAGTTCAAAACCCAGTCCTGGTGACTGGAAAAACAGGCCAGGTACATGTGTGTGTGCCCAAAATCCTAATAGAGGGATAAGCAGAAGAAAAAGAATTGTGGCATGACCATGGCCAAAAGAGAGATTCTTTCTGTCTGTCTCTCTCTGATGAGAGCACATACCTTCTAAAAATTTTTTAAAAGGCAAAAATAATAGGTACAAAATGTTTAGTGAAAGCTTTATGCATAGAACGAAAACGAGGGAAGGGATTGCACTCCTAGAATTCACTCTAGGAAGCTGTGGGAATAGTACTGTTCCACTGCCCTCTTCTGCTTACAGAGCTCTAGAGGAAGGGAACCCAGGGCCAGGTGGTGGGGCAGACATGACACCACTGGACCCACATGGAAAAGGCCCAGCTTCATGTCCTAGGACCTCTCTGAGTGCATGGTGTGTGCACTCACACCAGAGATCAGGCCAGCTGAGATGGAGGCTGGACCTTAGCATGGGGCCCCTGCTGGGACTGTCACTCTCCTTTCTTTAAAGGGAGAAATTCCAATTATGTTGTGTGTATGTGTGTGTGTATGTGCGCGCGCGTGTGCCAGAGGGTGTGAGTGCTCCCCAGAAACAGAAAGAGGAGAGAGAGAAAGCATCCCCCCAAAATGGAGTGTGGTCACACCACAATCCCTTCTCTTCCATTTCTCCATCCTATCAGGATTTGGGGCACACATGTGCCCAGTGTGTTTTTCAAGCTGCCAGGGCTGGGATTCAAACCGTGTGGTCAGCCATGTAGAACCCAGCTCCCTTAAGATCCAGGCCAAAGGGCTAGCCCCTCAAGCATGCCTTACAAAGAAGCAGCAGCTCCTACTTCCAACACCAAATTAAGAGGCAGTGACTGAAGCTATAATTGGGCTGCAAGTCTGGAACATGGCCATCGGGAGTAGATTCTCTGTGGCACAGCCAATGAGTTTTGAGAACACTGATGTCTAACACTCGGTTTGAAGTTGGTGCCTCTTCTGAAATCACTGTTTGGAACCCCAGGCCTTCCATCAAAGTTAAGACACAACACCCTTACAATAATTGTACTTTGCTGAGTGTAGGTAAATCAAAAGAACCTTGGGAAAATCCCACAGAGCCCTTCTTGAAGACAGAAGATGAAGTGGGGAACAAGAATTTTGGGGAGCCATGATGGAACTGACACAGTCCTCATCCCCTCTGGGGGATCTTGGGCTTGAATCACCTTATTTGAATGGTCAAGGAAACAGTGCAGAAGATGGTGTTAAGGACATTCACATTCCATTTTTAGATCCCAAATACATATTTTAATTATAATATTGAACATCTTGTCCTAACCACACTTCTAAAAGCTGCCATTCTCCCCACACTGAGAATCGCCATTCTAAGTTCTGCAGTTCAAAGCATCAGGATTTCAAGGCAAGACCTGCGGACATCAAAGTGGTCCCACCTAATCTTTGGTAATCTTTTATGTCCCAATGAAAAGAGGATGGATTTAATGGAAATTGCATAGTCCTACTTTAAATTATACTGCTAGGCAGAAGACATCAAAGCTTAATTTATCATCCAATCTACCAGGGAGAATTTTCACTAATCTCTCTGACTCTAACGGTATAAAGAAGACAGCTAATCGGCTATGTGCAAACAGCGCTTTCAAAATGACAAACTCTTCTCCCAAAGTAAAAACATGCCTACACGGCTACCAACCAAAGAGTGCAACACAGATGAAATTCATTCTCTCAACCCTGCATGGCAACAATGACATACAGTACTTTGTCCTTAATGTGATGGCATTAATTTGTACATATGACCTAACTGTACAACTGCCTTACAGTAATCCTGCACTCTTCAGATTTTCAGGAAAGACATGAGAAAACCCGCCACCCCCCCCCAAAAAAAAATAATAATAGAAAAACCAAATCTCAATTTGCTGTGCTAATTGGAAAGTTCTGCTTCCCAAGATGTGTATGCCTTCTCCAGACTACACTAAAAGAGTATTAAGTTTAAATGTTATTATTTAATTGCTGATTGGGGGTAAGAAGGGAAAAAATAAAATGTATTAGGTCTTTGGGAAGGTCAAGACGCATTCTTGCATAGAAAAACACCCCCCTGGGGGGGGGTGGGGGCGTGATTTCTCGCTTTCCGTCTCTCTGTCT